TGAGCTAAGGCTGCCTGTCTTTTGGGCTTGCTGAGTGCTTGCTTGGGGGGCTGTGTGCTTGGGCCTGTGCTCTGAGCAGCTGGGAGTGCTGCTAGCTGGGTGATTGCTGGATGATTGCTGCCTGACAAAAGCCCTAAAATGGGGGAAGAGCCAGTCCAGGAGGATATAAAAGGAGACTCCACGAGTGAACAGGGGCAACAAATAGGACAGTTTGCAAGCAGTTCACAGGCCATTTTACCGCTCCGCTCTTTGAAGGGGAATCTTTAAGGTCAGCTCTTTCTTTAATCAAGAGTAACTGAACTGTGGTCTTCATGCTTTCGTGGAAGGAGAAATGTATATGTTATGTATCATAACATTACCCAACAAGAGTAAGTAACCTACATATATTTAGTATAAGTAGCCATAACTCAGAAGTTAGGCCAATACTTAAGCCGCTATTTTAACTAGAGTTCAAGGTGAGGGAGAGTTTGCTAGGAAGTTCCTCTCACCTTCCTTCACTTACCTTGGTGAGAGGAAGGAGGTCATCAGGGAAAAGGGAAGCTTTTTGGACTAAAGAGTGTTGAGCCCCAGCTCAAGTCTGGGATCGTGCCCGGTATGCAAAGGCCAATAAAGATACCAGGGGTGAAAATACAAAAAAGGTTTATTGCTAGCAATAAAAGGTGCGAGCGGAATAATTTTACGTAACAAGCACACCAGATTATTATTTCTAAGCATCTTTTATACAGGAGTTTTTGAGCCTTTATAAGCATCCTTGTTTGTTGATTGGTTATAAAGGAGTGACGCAAGGAGTTCTTTACTGAGCATATCTCTATACCTGTGTTTTAGCCATGTATCTCATTTACATACATGTATGTTTTATTAACATACTTTTTCTCCACCTAGGGGCGTGATTTTTAGTATTTTAATGAGCCCTTTAACCCAGTACTTTGCTTCTTGCTTTTGTTTTTAAGCCCCCTTTATCTAGGACTGTCTCCTCCTTATCATCACAGATGGGCATTTGTCACATAACATTTTCTTTTGTTTTGTATCTAAATAGTGGTTTTTAGGTCACTCCTTACAAGAGGATGTCACAACCCAAGGGTGTGATGTTTGTTTTGTGTGTGCTTTGGCACCACTGAATTATTTTCCCACCAATTTGAAGCTTTCTTTGCAGGGTGCATTTCTTCTTTGCAGCATAGAAATGCACGTTGCAAGGAGTTCCCGCCATTCGTATTTAAATTTGTGCCCCACTATTGGCTGTTTCTAAATTATTCCCATGTGGCGGCTAGTGATTGGCTTGCTAGTGGTATAAAAAGCTTGAGTGGTTTCCACCCAAGTTGGAGGACTCCATGAACATCAGGAGGAGGAGACTTCACATCTTGTGAAGATCTCTAAGCGCTGCGGAGCCTATTGGACCCAGTGTATTTCAAGAAGGCAACAGAGGTCTGATCAGCCTCTAGCCTCTCCCCGTCACCGAGCGCAATCCTCGATGTATCCCTCTTCCCAAAAAAGGATCCACGGAGCCTCGACAACTCTGTGTGAGTGAGAGTTTTTGTCCGAGTCCTCAAACGAGGATTTAAGCAGAGCTGTACCTGGGAAACTGTCCAGCCTACACCGTGACCATCTACGGTGTAAGTAAACAATCTTGAATCAACCATTACACGTCCATGCCTAATTCTAGCGTGTCGCCTGCTTTCTCCGACCCAGCATGTCTGGGATGCTGGCCACAGCCCGCGACGCGAAAAAAGGGCCCCGGATCACTCCCGACCCTCACAGAGGAGAGAGTAGTTTGTAAGGGAATTTACTAGAGAAGGTCTGCTTCACAAGAGGGACAGGAAGAGAGAGGGGGCAGATTTAAGAGACCCAGAGAGGTGACTTCAGGATGTCACAGTGTCAGAGCCACTGCCACTGCCAGCTCTTCCTCTGCTTGCACTTATGAGGTGTCTTTCCAGAAAGGACAACTCATGGTCAGGGCTTCCACCCAGGTCCTGGTTTGGTACCATGGAGATGGTGGCTTGCAGGTTCCTTCCAGTGACAGCCATGTGTGGGAGTGTCTGTGATGTGAACAGTTCCTCTTGGTGCATCCCTTAGGGAGCAGACAAGAGAGCTCCAGGAGGAGGTGGTGAAGCATCCTCTACCATGAGGACTTCATCAATTTGACGCTGGAGGAGACCTCTAGGACTATGAGGAAGGACTGCCAGAGTCAGTGCTAGAGAAGGAAGGGGACATGGACTCCCGGGAAGGTGGAAGCTGGAACCTTGTGACATCTGGCAGCAAGCAGAAGTCTTCATCTCCACCTGCAATGGTTTGCATAGAAAACAGATATGGATTCCTAGCAGCTGGGGAGGAGGAGCATGTTCCTTGATGAAAGAGGCCAGGCCAGGCATCCCCAAAGTTGGGAGGATGGAGATCACTGCCACCAAGAAGTGATAGGTGGTGGTGATTGGAGACTTCCTTCTGCAGGGGCTGGTGGCATCCATCTGAAGCCTGACCTGTTGTCCCAGGAGGTCTGCTGCTGGACTGGAGCCCAGATCCAAGATGTCACGGAAGGATGACCGAGACTCGCCCAGCCCTCTGACTGCTACCCCATGCTGCTTATCCATGTGGGCACCAATGCTACTGCTGGGGTGACCCTGAGCAGATCAAAAGTGACTACAGGGCTCTGGGTGCAAAAGTGAAGGGGATGGGGGCACAAGTGGTGTTCTTGATCCTTCCAGTCAAGAGGAAGAGCCTAGACAAGAGGAGATGCATCCTTCAAATCAATGCATGGTGTCACCAGCAAGGATTTAGCTTCTTTGACTACAGGATATTGTTTAAAAAAAACAAACAAACACCTACTAGGACAAGATGGGATCTACTTGACAAAGAGAGGGAAGAGCATGTTTTCAGACAGGTTCACTCACCTAGTAAGGAGGACTTTCAACTAAGTTCACTTGGGGGTGGAGACCAAAGCCCTGAGGTAAGTGAGGAAGCAGGTGACTTGGAGGAAGTGCAAGCAGGAGGAGGCAACAGAGGAAGCCTTCTCATTCTTCCTGAGAAATCAGGGCAATCAGCTAGTTACCTCAGGTGTCTGTGCTCAAATGCATGGAGCCTGGGAAACAAGCAGGAAGACTTGGAAGTCCTCGCTCAGTCATGGACTATGACGTGATTGGAATAACAGAGGTGTGGTGGGAGCTCACATGGCTGGAGCACTGTCATGGGTGTGTGCAAACTGTCCAGGAAGGACAGACAGGAGAGAAGAGGAGGAGGACTGGTGGTTTATGTAAAAGCGCCATATGATTTCTCAGAGCTCTAGTATGAAGCTGGAGACAGGCCTGTTGAAAGACCCTGGGTTACGGTCAGAGGGGAGAACAGTAAGGGTGATGTGGTGGTGGGGGTCTGCTATAGACCTCCAGACCAGGAGGAAGTGGTGGTTGAGGCTTTCTTCAAGCAGCTAGCTGAAGGTTCCTGATCACAGGCCCTGGTTCTCATGGGGGACTTCAGTCACCCTGACATCTGCTGGGAAGGCAATACAGCAATGCACAGGTGATCCAGGAGGTTTTTGGAGAGTGTTGGGAACAACTTCTTGGTGCAAGTGTTGGAGAGACCAACTTGTGGCCGTGCTCTTCTTGACTTGCTGCTCACAAACAGGGAAGAACTGGTGGGGGATGCAGAAGTGGATGGCAACTTGGGCAGCAGCAACCGTGAGAAGATTGAATTCAGGATCCTGAGTAAAGGAAGGATGGAGAGCAGCAGAGTAAGGACCCTAGACTTCAGAAAAGCAGACTTCAAGTCACTAAGGGAAGTCATGGGCAGGATTGTAATCACCCTGTTGAGCTGCTCCGCATGCTGAGTATTGCCAAAGGAACTGCAACAAAACAGACTCAACCAATATACTCTCTTTCTTTCACTGCTGCTGCTGGTTCATTGAGGCCATTGCTTGGCTTGAATAATAATCAAGATCCTACAACCAGTTCCTTAAGTCCTCCAGTCCCCATGGCCTCCTTATTTCCAGAATCAAGTAAGTTAACACTGCAGATGGGCAGAAGTGACTCACTGCAGGCAAGAAACAGCCTTGTCTGAGAAAATGGGACTCTGGGTCAGTCTAAGGTAATTATACGGCATCTGTTACCACTATATCTAAAGATCTCACAAACTTAAATACACTCATAAGCTTTAACACATGAATTATACCAACCCTGCAAAGGAGGAAGTGCTAGCGACCTCATTTTGCAGAATTGAGGCACAGAGACCCAGATCATCGAAGGTAATAGGGCACCTAAGACTCTGCCTATACACATGCTCGGGGGTGGGGGGCATTTTAATTAGCTCAGTTTCCAGACAGCTGATCTAATTAAAATGCATCACTATCTATGTGTATTAAGCCCCCATGTACTTAAAAATGGGTGCGGGATGCTTTATCTAAACCTCATTTGACAAGGTTTAGATAAAGTGCCCTGTGGTCATTTAAAAATGTGCAGGGGCTTAATACACATGACTCTGCTGCAATGCTGGAGTCTTCTAATTAGAATGTGAAGCAGACTTGATTAATTGAGTCTGCTCTGTTCTAATTAGAACGGCCAATGAGCACATATATAGGCAGCCATTGATTTAAACAGAAGTTAACCAAAGAATACCTTGAAGATACTTTTTCCAAGCTCAGGCAGGAAGTCCATAGTAAACCAGGAAACTGAACTGAGGTCTACCAAAGCCTAAGCAATGGACCATAGTCAACATTAAACAAAGCATCACAGATGGACCTATCTACTATCTCAGTAGTGAGGTAAGTCATAACCATGTATTGAACCTGTTTGGGGTGATTCTAATCTGGCTCTAGGTCTTGTACCCTTGTCAGAGCATACAGTCACCCCTATGTTGGTGTGAATAGAGGCAGCTCTATGTTACATTTGGAGGAACTGTGGTGATTTACAAAAGCTGAAGATCTGGACTAGAATGGTTTCTTTAAAAGGTCCCAAAATATGGTGTGGGAGCCGTTCACCAGGAAGGTGTTAACTGCAGTATGTTTGTGTATTGTTTTTTAGGCCACACCACGGTAGAGGTCCAGCATGGATGGGCCTGCTTTACAGACTTGGCAGTCTCCAGTTTGGGCACTGACTGGTATCTCGTTTTCACTGTTTTATCACCTCCAGGTAGGGTCTGCTATAGGTACCTTGTTGCTTTATTATCTTGTTCCTTGCAAATCTACAAGAACTCTCTGAACGATATTACTAAAGCATCTCAGCTTAGCAGAACAATTCCTTTGCCCTAAGTACAAAGTCCTGGGGATGAAGCCAGTTTTCCCTCTTCCAAGGCAGTTCTATAACAGGTAAACTGTAGAGAGGTGCTCCTTCTTGCTTGTTCTTCTGGCCCTGATGTGTTTGGCTGCCTGGTGGCTCAGCTTCAAGAGGACAGGTGGAGAGCGCTCCCATCCAGGCTTGTGCACTCTCTTAGGAAGTAGTTGTTATGGGCTTGAATTCCTTTGGAGTGAGAAGAGTCCAGCATCTATCTCCCCCATTTCCCAGGAAAGTCCTCTAAATACTTGTGCTAATTCAGTGCTATTGATGAAGCTGTAGTGGATCAGCTTTGCCCCAGGATTTAGGTGCTTTCTCACAACCCGACTGGATTACAATAGAGGTTAGATAGGAGTTAGGTGCCCGATTCAGTGATCAGCCCGGATTGTTTTTGTGCATGCTCCATCTTGTGTGCAGTCCTACAAACTGCTGAGTGTCCTCAGCTCTCAGTGGATTCACTCACACTGCAGGAAGCTAAGCATTAAGCAGGAACAAGTTCTTATCCTGAAATTAGATACATTGAAATTGCTGGAAATGCCATGACACTGAAGTTAGGAGAGGTTGCTTTCATTGTACAAAGGTTGATCCCAGATCCCTTGACTTACATTTTTAGCTAATAGAGATGTTGCTCAGAGATCTTTACAGACAGTGGCCTAAACAGCTGTTTCATCATAAGGGCAATTATCTTTGACTAATTGAAACCATGGCTCTGTACATTTTTTAACATGCACCATAAAAGTGCATACTGGGCGCATCTTCATATGCATTTTCTGCGGCACTAGTTTACTTGCGAGTAAATTACAATTAAACGGTGCCAGGCAGGAGTCTACACGTGCAGGGAAGCAGGAGCCAATTTCCTGCCAATCTACTCCCAATCTGGGGAGCCCTGGGGCTAGCCTCAGGCTGTCCCCCTAGGGTCCAGGGCTCACCCAAGAGCAAATTTGCTCCCGGATTGTGTTTACACGTGTGTTACTGTGCAGTAACTAAATGTGAGTAAATTTGATACCTGCATTTTCAAATATCAAATTTACTGATGATTAGGGGTTTTTACTGTACAGTAAGTGTATGCACGTGTAGATGCACAATTACTATGCAGTAAACTAGGCTACTGTGCAGTTAAGCCTCTTGTGTAGATGCGCCCACTAAGTAACATAGATCATTCTGTATTTTATATCTGGATTGGAGAGTGTACAGCACCTTGGCATTCATGGGAGGTGCTTCCTTGTCCCCTAAAGAAAACATGAAGCAGGACGTTTCACGGGCACTTGGGATAAAATAATTTCATCAGTTTTGATTATGCAGCCTACCATGACTATTTGTGTCTATGACCTCTGTACTGGTTTCCTATCTGGGCTTATTCTTGAAGCATCTAGAATGCATCTAGTACTGAATGCAGTGGTGTTACCTGGAGAGAGCAGATTATTTATAGGGCATTTGCACTGGTCTGCTATTTGTTTCTGTGCATGGCTGTATATCTTTATGAGCTTTATTCTCCCCAACTCTGATTTCAGTTAATAGGAATTTTGCAACTGGCATTAATAAGAATTGGATTCACTCTTCACATCCACCTCCAGTTTGAGTTTTAGCTATCTGAGAGACCCCTGGTCCACTCTTACTACAAGCTGATACACTGATATAGTTGCAGGCTTTAGGCATGTTGCTCTCAGAATTGAGATACCAAACAGAAACTTATGTTTGTTGAAAGGGTCAACTTAAAATGTAGTCAGCTTGAAATAAAGATATGGTTTTGGTATCTACACCTGTCCACAAGTTTCCATCTATCAATTATTGTACACATTTTATGCCAATTATCATACCTATTCAATACATTTGTAAATAAAACTCTCACACATTTTTATTAAAGGATTCACACAAACAGCAAAGAGAGTAACTTCTACTAAAGTCAATAGGACTGTGGATTTGGGATTGAAGACATGAGTCAGGGGTGTCCAACATCTGGCCCCCTTGGTGCTGTTCTGTCTGACCTGGTGGGTGACCAGTAGGCTAGAGAAGCTGTGAGTGCAACTAGGGTGGACTGGCTGGAGCGTCTGGGGCCCCAAGGTCCTAGTGGACATAGCCCTTAATGGCAGGAGGGTGGGCGAGGACTGTGTTAACACAACAATCCTAGCCCTGCAGCTGCTTATCTCCATCATGGCAAGTGGCCACTTGATCCAAGTCCCCTTGCCCTACTGCCTGCTACCACCCCTGGGCTCTCAACTTGAGCTGCTGCCACTGCCAGCCCTACGCCTCAGGCCAGATCTGATATGTGAAGAGCCCCATAGTCTGGATCCTGCCAAGGGCATAGGGTAAGTTTGACCTCTCTGAAATAAGTGATAAAAAGAGAGTATTGGCCCAACTGTTTTGGTGCTTATATCCTGCCCATCCAATATTCAATGGGATAAGGCATTTTCAGCAACTATTCTGGATTCCTGAGCAGGGTGATTGCATAGTCTAAGCCCAAGTGGCAGGTGAAGCAATCACCAGTCAGCAGGTAGAGAGTATCTTTGGATCATGTCAAAGAACCTGAAGTCAAGCCTGAACCACATGCTTCCCTGGCCTAGCATAACTAATCCACATCAGTTTCTATTACCAATGGCACACAAGGAAGTACTATGGGCAGTGTCATATACCCAATTGAACCTCTTCTCCATTCAAGAGAGGAAGGGAAGCACATTCTGTTTGGGCTTGATCCAGGATCTACTGAAGCCAACGGAGAGTCTTTCATGGAAATGAATGAGCTATCGAGTCAGGGGTTGGTTTCAGTGACCACCTGAGTTCCTTACAACCCAGCTACTCTATGATTTAAGCCTTTTGGGAATGTATAAATGCATTATTGTCAGCCATTTCTGAGTTAAGTGTTTTGGCTCTGAAGCACAAAATCAAGTGCCCTTGATTTTGTAATAATCCCTGACATGTTTTCTTTTCTCAGGTGCCAAGTTCACAGTTGAGTCCCAGCCATTTACCATCTTCCCCTTTGCCATGGGAGAGAAATCCAACCCTATCCTTGCTGTTGTGCTGAGCTCAGTGGCTTCTGTGTTAGTTCTGGGTCTTTTCGTATTCTGCTGGGTCAAGAAAAGCAAAAGTAACAGTAAGTTGAGATCCGTCATGTGAAGAAGCCCCCTTTTTTGCAGTGCTGTTCCATGTATTGGAACAATGATAGGGAGAGCTGGGCTGGAGCTGTTAACACCATATAATGAATCCTACACAAACCATGACTGATAAAGTGGAGCTCTTTGGGCTTCATTGGGAATGGCAGCAGATCCCAATGCAGTTTCTGCATCCACAAGTGACTTTTGCTGCTGTTCTAATCCTCTTCCATTTATTTTCTCCATCTCGGTGTAGCCTGTAGGCTTGATCTTGCAGCTTCCTCTGTGAAGTCAGACTCCAGCACTTACACAAAGCCCCTGACTTCAGCTGCCCAAAGCTGACCTTAGGGTCCTATTGTTTTAGACCCTGCGCATGCCCATGGGTGGTTCCAGAGGGGGTGCAGTGATGTGGTCTCACTCCTCTTTCAGACCACACCATGAGAGCAGCAGCCAGGGACATTTTAAAATCCCTAAATTAGAGAAGGCTCTCCCCTCACCACCCTTGGCATCCCCTTCCTTCTTCTCCTTCCTCAGTGACACATCCCCTCTCCTCTCATCCTCTCCCAACCCTGCCCTGCTGCTGGTGTCCCCAGCTGACCCAGGGGTGGGAGGTGCTCCAGAGTTTCACAGAGGAGAACGGATGGGAGAATTCATACCTAGTTCAAGGACTTAAAAAATCCCTGGTTTCTGCACCTGTGGCATAGTCTACCCATCCCGTGGGGGGAGAAGGTGGAAACTGGGAGTGAGGTTGCAACCATCCCTGCAGCATTGGCCACTGCTTCTGCACCCCTCTTTACAAAAACCTGGATACACCCATAACCAAGACAGTTTCTGTCCTGAAGAGCTTACAATCATGGGCATAGCAGAACGAAACCACTAGCCCCATTTTACAGATGGGGAGCAGAGGCACAGATAAATCATTATCTAGGTTTTCAACAGCACCAAAGCTATCAACATTGTTTTTAATCAGGACTGCAGAGCACTTGGGAAAATACAGTAGCTGAGAGGCTTAGCAAAGGGTGCCCAGGAGGTGAAGGCATGTCTCTTGAATCCTTGTCTTGTGCTTTGTTCTCTTGGTCCAGCGTCTTACACATGAGATCATCCAAGCAGGACATGCTATCACTTAGTCCTGCATTGCATTAAAAGGTGTTTCTTTGTATCTGTTTAAAAACAGGACATATTTAAAACTGGACTGGGCACTATTGTCCTCCCTCGTATTGGTATAGTATTTTCAAAGTCAGTGGGAGCTCTTGGGTGCTTTAAAAATTCAGGCCACTTTCAGTGCCTCAGCCACTGTATTTTCCTATACTTTGAATAGGCAATAGTGGAGCAACTCAGTCCCTGGAGTATAGCAAGCAAAAGTCTAACTCACCCTAACACTGCTTCCTATTACATTTCCCTAAAAGTGGCAATGACACTGGAAGATAGGCCCAGAGCAGAATTATCTTATGCCAGCATAAAGCTACTGCTGGGAGAGGAGAGACATGTGTAGCTAGGGCTTTTCCACAATCCAGCAATCTCCACCTGTCATCTCAGCTTTTTGGAGACATGTATCGACTGACATAATCTAGAGCAGCCTTCAAGGTATACTGGAATGACCTGTGGATGCATAAACTTTTAGACTGTATTAAAAGAACAAAGGGAAAGTTGGTGTGGGGAATGTGCATCAGCTGTTCCAACGTAACTCTTATGTGTATCCCCTTCTACACTGGTATAAGTGAGCTAAACTGCCATAACTTTAAAGCTGAACCAAATGGTCTGGGACAGAAATTCCATAAACCGGTTGGACCCAAATCAGTTAAATCTGATCCTGCATCAACCAGGTTTATCTTAAATCAGTTTTAACCATTTTGGCACTGCTTTATGTGCACTGAGCTTCTGCTGTGTTACAGGTTTAAACCCGTTTCAGATCACTTAAACCGGTTTATGCGTCATTTCTGTCCCTTGCCAACAGGTTTAAAGTTACAGCAGTTTGGCCCCACTCTTGCTGTTCTGGAAAAGGAAACATTTAACAGTTACATGGGAATGGCTGCTAATGGTATAATTAATACTGGTATAACTGTTACATCATTCCACACCCTTAGGCTAGGGGCCAAGTCAGCTGGAGAGGCAAACCAGCCTTTGGACCTCATAAAGGTGACTTGTGCTGCACAGTCGTAGACGCTTGGCTGTGAGTTTCTAACAATGTCCACTTTACATGGGCAGAGTTTTGCTGGAATGAAGAAATGAGATCCCTGGAGGAATGAAGAGTAATCGTCTTTTGGGAAGAGGGAGTATGCTCTAGATTGGATACTGGCTCTCTAGCACAAAGTTGTCCCTTCAAGTAATACCTGGCTCTGAGCCTTGAATGGGTTGAGAATGAGGTAATTGTTTCTTTTGGTACAGAAACAAAGACTGGACGGGCTAATGCACTGCAAGCAGAGAGCAACATCAAACCTTCCCCGATCCACCGGCCGAATAATTCAACTCGCGTCCAGCTGCAGTGCAAACAGGAAGAGAATGACCGTGATGTTGCTGGGGTGGAAGCAGGTGAGCCTGCAGATGGAGAGTGAATGAGAACAAGTTTCTAAAGTGCCTTTCAGGCACTGTGCTTGGGGAAATGACCCTTGTCACTGTAGTGTGTTCGCTCTCTCTCAGATAATCCAGATCAAATGTCTTCTGTTCACAAAGCCAAATACGATTCTTCTCACTGCCAGCACTTAAAAAGCCCCCTTGAGGTCTGCACATGACCACTGTTCACTGATTGTCAGTGGTACCATCACTGCTTTTCCCCTTTTCCAGTCGCACCTTGCTATTTTTGGAGCCTTTTTTGTGTACAGAAGACCTCTGATTCCTATAGGGTTTTATTTTGGGGGACAAAGGGAGTGGCTTGTAGCTTATGGTGTGTGGGAGTTCCCGTAGATCCTTTTGGACTTGCCACCAGATTGCCAGGGACCGGATTTGATGACCCAACGTGTCCTGTCAGGTTCCTAGGTCTCTATCTCAGTATTGCTAACAATGTGCTTGGTGCTGTACAAGTTATAAATGTGAAGACAATTCCTGTTCCAAAGAGGTTGCAGGTTAAAGTGCTGCACCAGCACGCTGCTCTGCAATCCAGCATGTGCCAACTTCTACAGATCAGTTTGGAGGGTCGTGGCTCGTGTTGCAGATCACTGAGTACGTCAAGGCGTGCTGAGTTCAGTGGGCCACCAGCACCAAAAGTTCTGCCATGTGGATCAAACGCCTGTGTCATTGCTGAAGAGGCAAACTAAGAAAAGCCAAGAGCAATCTGGAAGAGAGGGGTAACATAAGAGGTTAACAAGTGGGTTGTTTTTAATGGTAGGTTTTGGGTTTTTTTAATTAGATTCATTTTTAACCCATTTTGGGGGGTCAACCTAGAAATGAGTTTTTAAAGCTTTAGTGCATGAGTGAGTAATGGTTTAGTGAGCCCAGACTAGGCTTTATGCACAAGGAGAGCAGAGAGGCAGAGTAGGAGGTGGAGGGGAAAGTTCGGCACAGAGATGCTCTTGTTGTCTCCTGTATCCCGCAGAATATGGCTTTTGCCATCCTCCTATTGCTGCCTGGAATGACACAAAGGCCAGTCTTCCAAATCAGTACAGTAAGACAGACAGGGGTAATGGTTACTTCTTCCTTTTGACTGATGAAGAATTCACGGGGCTTGTTTTCATTGACACCAAAGCCTTTTCACCTTGCTGTGGCAATCTGAAGGGCTTTAAAGTGGGCATAAAACACTGCAAGGCCAGTGTAAATGGGTCTTACTCTAAGGGCAAATCAGGCCCTCACGTCTAAAACTTGTTTTGGAAAGCCTATGTGCCCAGAAGATACGACATATATTTTGGTTCGCGTCACCAGAAATGCCAGGAGTTTAGAGATGGACAAACAAAGACTTTGTAGTGAAGGGAAGAGGGATTTACTGGCCTTTACGTACAGTTTGACTCCCTATATTACTTTGCATCTCCATCTAGAGATGCTGGTCTCCTCCATTCTCTGCCTTAAACAATTGTGCAATGTTACAACATCCCGACAGGTAGAAGGCAGGGCAGGGTGGCACCTTGTATACTAACTCATTCAGAAAGACATGAGCTTCCGAGGGCTACAGCCTACTTTGTCAGCTATAGGCTGTAGCCTATAAAAGCTCATGGCTTTCTGAACGACATAGTGTATAAGGTGCCGTCCTGTTCTGCTCTGCCTAACTTCAAACTGTATTTGCCTGTAGCTAAGAACAGGGGACACGATTTCTAAGCATTTCCAAGGGCAAAATCCTCAGGTGTCTAGGTATATGGCCAGACTGTCAGGCTGCAGAGTGCATCCATCTGATCCAGCCAGGGCACATCTGCAGACTCCCCACTACCTCTGCGGACTGCTGTTCTTTTTGCTTGTCATTTCTACACTCTCGTGTCCTTTTTTCCCCTTTTGTTTTGCTTCTCCGGGTCCTTTTCTCCCCCTGTCTTTTCTCATAATTATGTGCTGATCAAACACTGCTTCCTCTGAGGTCATTGCAAAAGCAGATCCCCCCAAGGGCATGCAGTTTAGCAGCGGGGTCCGCCAAGCAGCAGAAAGCATGGGCTTCCTCTACGTGAGCCTGGATTGTCTCCTCCAGGTTTTTGCTCTCCCCAGCTACTGTCACCGCTCCAAGCCTAGTCCGTCCCAGTAACCCAGCTGAACTACACAGTTACTCTAGGGCTGGGAAATTTCCCCCCCCACCTCCTCCCCTAAATTTGTGGATTACATAAGAGGCAGGAAGAGGCGATTATGAGTTTCAGCTCATTTTAATTAGCATCTCTCCCCAAAACAGAGGGAAACAGAGAGAAAGGAAATGCTGCAGCATATATGTTCTGATATTCGCCACTCTTCTCCAGAATACCACGTTCAGCTGTGTGCCTTAGGATACATATCTGCTGTAAATTCATTTTTTATCTAATTTGTCTGAGATCTAAGCTTCCTGTGGAGGTCTGAGATCAAAGGCGCTGATTCTGTCTGATGTCGGCTCTGACACATAATGCGTGCTGACTTAGTTCTGTCTATAAACTCGCAGTGGGAGGCTGGCATTTTCCCCTGGCACCTTTGCACAGTGAACTTTTAATTTCGGCTAGGGAGGCAGACAGGTATGGCAGCGATCGGAGCCGTTGTGTAAATAATTCATGACAAGATTATTGTCAGAACGAGGAGATCCAGCCTCAAAGAGATCCAGCCTCTTTGAGTCTTTTAGGAACCAGAGGAAAAAAAAAAAAAAATGATTCCCCAACATGATCAAATCTAGCCAAGAGCCGCAGTACCTTAAGTGGATTTAATACATGTCACTTGAAATGTCTAATGCTTGACTACTCCATAGGCAAAACAAGGTTGGTTTTGGAGAAAGTCATTTTTGTTTCATTTCTGCCTCTCAGGTTGTTGTTTTTATTCCCTTCCATAAAGAAATCCCAGATTTTCTAAATCCATCAAGCGTCCAGAGTCTTTATCATTCATCAAGGTTGTAAACTCTGTCGTCGCAGGGTGTGCCATTGTTATATGTTTCTGCAGTGCTGAGCATAGGATGCTAGGCTCTCTGGGTATTGCCACAATGAGGAAGATACATAGGCCTGCCTCCTATTCTGCCTTCTATTCTGATTTTTTCAGGGACTTTCAGGGATATTTTGAGGAAGGCAAAATAGGACCACATTTAGGCACCTAAATCCACTTAGACATCTAGTAGGCGGAGGAGAATCTGGCCATACAATTTAAAGCCACAGGAGACTATTAGATTATCTAGTCCTTGTCTGTACACCACAGACCATTAAATATCACTGAATGACCCCGTGTTAAACCCCATAATTTTTGACCGATTCAAGCAGAGAGGCATCTAGTCTTGACTTGCAGATCTGAAGAGAGGGAGCTGTCCACTTCCATCATCGATCTTCTGAAAAGGATTTGAGAGTCATGGTGGGTGATCAGTTAAATTTGAGTTCCTGGTGGGAAACCGGCCAAATGGGCTAATGAAATCCTTGGATTTCAAAAAGGCAGAAAACTCGAGAAGGACCAGGCCTCTGTTTTTGGGTTGGGCCTGACTCCATCTGTGTCCAGTGCCGGTGTTCCCACTTCATGCAGAATATGGCTAGACTGGAGACGGTTCAAAATCCAGCTCATGGCTTTCTGAACGACATAGTGTATAAGGTGCCATCCTGTTCTGCTCTGCCTAACTTCAAACTATATTTGCCTGTAGCTGTTGTCCCCTATTCTTAGCTACAGGCAAATTCTTAGAGCCAGGAGAAGGATGAGAAGGCAGAGCTTGTAGTGAGCAACGCCAGGGTGCGAGTCTACTTAGTTTATCCGAGAGAAGAGACTTGATCACAGTCTAAAAATACCTACCCAGGGAACAAAATGTTGATAATAGGCTTTTCAAGCTAGCAGACAACCATATAACAATAGCTAAACAAATTTAGATTAGGAATTAGGGGCAAATAATGGCACAGTTGATTGGGCACTGGTAGAACTTACCAAAGGCTTTGGTGGAGTCTCTGTCACTAATGATTTTTAAATTATTTTGTTTCTAAAATATATTCTTCAGTTCAATTAGGAATTAATTCAGGGACATTTTATACTCCAGGCTATTTGAGACAGCAGATTAGACGATCCTAAGATTCCTCTCTGGTCTGCAGAATTGATGACTATAGGGACATTACTGGTCTGAAAGGAACTGGGTATAAGGGCAATGCCCAGTACTCGACTAAGGGCTGCAGGGTTGTACCTTCACTTGGGATCTCAGAAACTAACTGTGCTCTTGCTGCCTCTTGTCCCATCACCAAAAATTGTGCCAGTGGATCTCCCCTTGTTATTGATGCTTTAGCTCCCTCCACAACTAGGCTCAGGATGGTTGAAAGGTGGCTTTGTCAACCAGGTAAGCTCAAGGGCTGCCCTTTCAGATGGCACATCAGAGATTGGATCAGGCATTTCAGACCTAAAAACATGTGCTTTGTGGTAGAAGCCAAAAGCTCAAAGCTTCACCGTCAGTGGCTGTAACAATTCACCCACTCTGCAGTTCAGGCTTTGCAATCAAAAACACTCATAGATGGACAGCATAAGTGTGGTCCAGAGCCACTGGGCATGGGTGGGATAAGACTAGATATGGATCTGGAGCAAATAACTGAATATTTAAAAAAAGAAAAAAGGATAAATCACTCCAAATCAGAGTGAGAAGAAATCCGCCTGCATGAATCTAAATGTAGAATGGGAGGGTAAGAGACATGGTAACTCAAAAATGACATGTAGTAAGAACAAGAAATACTTTCCCTTTGTGCCTCATGGCACTTGGGATTGCTAGAAATACTTTCTCCCATTTGAAAATCATTGGCGCCCGCTTTACTTCTTTTGTTTTAAGTCAAAATGGCTTGTTGTTACCAGTCGTGTAACTAGGGCTGGGAATGGGGGCACCCACCACAGGGGTGGATATAGAAGGGGCACCAGACCGTGCCACAGGGGTTGCTGAAGGAGCTATGCGGGCAACCTGTGCAGCAGCCGCTGGAGCCCACCACAGCAGTAGCAGCTCTGATCCCCTGCTGGGTAGATTGCTGCATCCATGGTGCAGTGACCCGGTGCCTAGCAGCACCCGCTGGGAGCTTCAGGTGAGGCAAGGCTTGCATGGAAAATTGCCCCTTGCCCACCACTACCCAACTTCTGCCCCCCAGGCCCAGGTTATAGAAAAAGTTAGCTCAACCTCTGTTTTTTCCCTTGCCCCATCCCCTGCAGCCATCTTTTTTTCCCAGTTCTCTAATGCTGTCTTTATTGGGTGTCTCCTGTACCTGAGAACAAGGCCATGCATGACATTAAGGTTCAGTTGATGCATTGAAAAAGAATTAAAACAATTAGTGGACACGCATTAGAGACATGGGTAATATATAAGCTCTGGTGTAAGTGAGTGATGCACATGCTGGATTGTAGCAGTCTGCATTTATTCCTCTTTTATTGACTGCTTATAAATGGTGTAAAGGGCATCTGAATATATGAGCTGAGCAAAAGAACTCAATATTTTATTAATTTTGTCAAGTGTGCATACGTTTCATTGCTGTAATGTTTTAATGACTTGTTTCCTCAAAGTTGATATTCAGGGCCAAATTAAAATAGTTCCTTTAACAGGCACTTCCCAGCGACAGTTGGACTTTAATTAGTGAAGGACACTAAAATGGAGCAGAGACATAAATAAGAAGAAAAGAGAAAAATAAGGTTTTGTTGTGAAGGCTAATAGCAAAATTGATTTTCTCTTACAGATATGGAAGCAAATGGGAAGCAAGGAAGCAGAGTGGGAGAGGTCAAGGAGCAGCATCCACAGGCCTTTAAAGCCAAGTCATTGGGGAAGATGAACATTGCTGAACATCAGATGGAGAGTGGAGAGAAGTCATCGATGACTAAGAAATGCGGGGATCGCTATGAGTCACATGCTAGGACATCTCCATGGGATTCCTTCGAACTTCAGCAGCTTGGACTCAAGGAGTTCTCTGAATGGAAAGATGTCTCTCAGGAGTAATTTGGTTACATCTATGGAAAGAAATAGGAAGAAGAAGAAGCACTGTACCAGAAGGCAAAGAAGAAGAGGGAGGAGACTGCCACAGGACCTTGAAGAGATGAGTAAGGCAAGAAGAAACGTCCAAACAAGACGTTGTCTACGATGCTTTGGCACCTCACTCTCTTCTACTGCGAGTGTCATCAGGAAAAGCAAGGGAGCCTGGGAGACACATCAGGATGGTTAGCAGAAAAAGTAGTGGTCAGAGCAGCGTATTTAAATAACTTGTATTAAAAAAAAAAAAAATCCTGTTAATTTTTTCATTTTTTGACTCGGCAAATTTGCTTCTGTTCAAGGAAAGAAAAAAACTTGTCCCACTTCCCTGTTGCTTAAATATGTGCTTAAGGCTTTTCAAACTAGAAACGGGATGGAAGTACCTGTTACTTAACAAAATGATTTGCTGCATCGGGGTTTGAGTATCCCATGAGCCAGCAACCAGTCCCTTCTGAACGTCTGTAAAATATCTAGTGCAATCATTAATAATAGTGACCTAGAAGCTGGGTCTTCTGGGTTCTAGTCCTCATTGACTTCACACAAGGTCTCCCTAGACTTCTCTGTGTGCCTCTCATTGCTGAGCTGTAAAACTTATTTTTTCCCAATTAAGCCTTTGTAGCTCAGAGGGGAATAGCAAGACTTTGTATCATGTCTCTAAAGCCCTTGTGTGGAAAGTACTCCAACAGAACCAGCTATTATTTATATTAATCCATGGGAAAGGTCCAGCTGGTCCTTATATGGTGCTTATGATCTTGACCAGTACTGTTGACTGAAACGGGAAACCTCTAGGGATGAAAAGACTCGGTTTCTATAGGATGAACCAAAGAGCTATGCTCAAGCACTGAGCATCAAGTTAATTCCTGTAGGCCCAGGCATCTGAAGTCCACTGTAGCTCAAATCCCAAACAAGCACTGACTGATGTCACAGCAGCTATCTTGGCTGGCACATGGGGTATTAAGCTCATGGCCTCAAGAGCTAAAAGCTATAGCCTGAGCTGTGTGAAGCTTTGGATCAGCTCACTGTATCCTCTCTGAACTGGACACAGTCTATTCAAAACTCACACACATGGACCAATGCATTACATTTTCCCACACCAGCCCTACCTTCGTGACTTTTTCCTGACCTAGATTGAAGAACAATGTGGGCTGGTGGGAGGACGGCTTGTTCTCCATGTCCATTGACTGTGAGACTACATGCCACCTCCAATGCCAACATATTTCCATCAATAAATAAACTTAGATCATCCATAGCCATTGGAACATACAGCCTTCAGCCCCATCCAGTCTCAGCTGATACAAGCTAGTCTTTTAGGCACAAAATCCTTTCCCCATCTGCTTAGCCTTGCAAAACCCATATGGTATATTATTTTAACTAGGCAAGAATGAAAAATCACTAGCCAAAAAGGCAAATAGAGTTAATTGGAAGAAATGGAAATAGAGGCAGGAGAGGAAGCTCGTTTACCTTCAAAGTCTCATTCCAGGAGCTGGAGCTGATCCAAAAGTGTCTCAAGATCTTTAAGGCTCCCGTAGCAGTGTCATGTTCCCTTAATGCCATGCATATCAGTCAAGTACTTACTCAGAGGATAGTCATTCACAGACTCACCAACACCAGCTCCTGCAATGTCAAAAGTTCATAGGGATGGATATCCAATTCGTATAACTCAGAACATCTCCATTAGTGAGCCAGGTTCACAACTGATGTCAGCGGAGCTATAATGATCCACATCAGGCCTGGTTTGAGTCAATAGTCTCCAAAGTGAGAAGGGACCATCCTTTATGACCTCCTGCACAATATAGGCCATGGAGTTTCTCCCAAAAAATTCCCACAGTGGCAAGGATTATTCTTCCTTACTCTATAAATGAACACTATGGAGTCAAATAACTTGAAGGCTGGATGAAAAGATCTAATTTCGTCCAACAGTTTGGAAATCTTTCCTTTCTCCATAGCCGACACACAGTTTATTAGAGATGGCTTGCAATAGTGGAAGGCACAATCTATATTGTATAAATATGCTTCTCCCTCCCTACTCGCTCCTCCTTCAAAAGAAGCTCTGCTTCTGGTGAGTGACTATATCCCATCCAAACAGTGCAAATGCAAAAAGTATCTAATTACAGATGTCAGAATATACGCAAATGGCATGCAAATAATATGGGATGTTAATTGTATGCAAAAATATACAATGGAGCCTTCTATTTGAAAAAAAAATCAGACATATCAGTAACAGCTAAGGGTTTTAATTAATACTTTAATTCAAAATTCTTGTATTTATTCCATATATTGTTTACAGAATATATAATGTCTTGCATGTCTAGACTTCTAAGTGCTTTATTAAGCAGGGTTAAAACCACAGCTAACTGCATAGTTGTTGATCTTGGTTTCCAGAAGTGCTGTGTATTAAGTCAAGGGAATGGCATTGCACATGACCCTACAGTGGAAAAAGTGAGAGAGCAAAAGGAAATGCTGAGTTACAAACAGAAAAATCATGTGGTGGTGTAACTGAGGGGGTGGGTAATATGGGAAACTACCTAGGCACTGACTGGGGGAGAGGGTGGCACATTTGAGATTGCAGTGCCAACCGGAAGTCGCTGCTTCTGCTTTGTCCAAAGAACCCAGCCATGCCCCAACATTGATGAAACCTTGTATCTATAGGTTAAACTTCAGGAGTGAATTACTTTGGTTGATAGGAAAATAGGTATCATATGGAGACCAGAGAAGGCACGTCCATATGAGCATGGACATTTGGTTCCCCAGGGACAAGTAGTGGTGGTGTACCTTGCACCACCACTTCTTGTCCCCGGGGAATGCCCGTGCCACGCAGGCTTTGGCACGTGGCAAGTTGCCCCAGCTGGCATAGGGGAGGCTGGGGCCAGCACTGTACTGATCCCAGCAGCCTTACCTGGGGTCCTGAGGGCCTCCCGGAGATGCAGCGATAGTGATCCTGCCAGGCGGCAGCTGCAGCATGGCTGCAAGCAGCCCGGCTCCGCTTTTTAGCAGTGCACGCTACCCTGGATGTCCAGGGGTCAAAAAAACCCCAAAAAACACAGAGAAAAAAAACCCAAGCAGTGCACACTTGGGCAGCATGCCTTTGCAGTGCAGAGAACACCTCACTAGGCAGTATGTGGCACTGCAAACGTGTTTGCAGCATCATATACTGCACGACCACACTTGTCTGAATGTGCCAAAGAGGCCAGAAGTGATTGGAAGAATTCAAGTTTTGTATAGCATCAGTTCAACAACCACCCCTTGTTAACACTATGGTGATATGTAGTCTCTCAAAGCCTATCTGAGATTCGTACCCCATTGTTTCAAGCACTGAACAGACACACCCCCTGCTCTGAAGACTTCACTCACTAAATGGATATAGGAAGCACCAACATCCCCATATTGGCATGAGGAATGAAGAGCTTAATAGACTTATCCAAGGCCATGCAGGATGTCTACAGCACAACCAGGAGTTAAATTAACATCTCACACTTTGCAGTCCTGGTCTGGAACTTCGTAAAAAGGGTTTCTACAATATGTGGGGCAAGAAAGAGAGCCATGAGATGGGGCTTGTGTGAGAAGGCAGAGGAACCCGGGCTCCATCTTGCTTCTTTTCTTTCTGCCTCTACATAGCTTATGATTTCAGCTGCCCAGTGGGCCAGCTTCTCTAGGAGGTATGGGCAGTGCTTCTAGCAACGCCTGGCCCAGAGTCCACTTCTTAAAGCACTTGGCTGGGAGGTTGGTGATGCAGGATCAAGTCCCCTTTAAGGCGAGTGTCTGTGGAAGGGAAGTTCCTTCTCCTGAGAAAAGTAGCATAACTTGCTGGCAGTCCCTCAATACAAGGATAACAGTCTGCCAGAAAAACAGGGAAGTCACTAATGAGTCCAAAGATGACTGAGGAAATGAATCTGATGTCCACATGTTTGATTGAAGATGTGACAAATAGTTCCTGGAAGTTCTGGTGTTGTTGGCTCCAAGCTCTTT